ACCTATAAATTAACAAAAATAAGCACAAATAAGAATTGTCAGGCAAGGTAATTATATAATATGAATAATATTAAGCAAAGAAAATGATGGATTCTGTGTAACATGTTTTCTTTTCTAGGACTTTATCAGAGTAAAGTAATATTTTTTGATGGAAATATATATGTGTAGGAGGAGAGAGATATAAACGCAATTGTCAGTTATTATGTACTGTGCAGGAATGCTGAATTCTAGATAATGAATACACATTACACAGAATTTTTCCACTTTATCATTCAGTTGCTTAACATTGTTCTGATATACAGTGTAACCCGGATATAAGAGAAACCTGGATATAAGAGATTTTCTCTGGTCCCAAATTAGAGCCTGTGTTAATGTATATAAAATAGACCAAACCCGGATATAAGAGACTTCTTCTCCGGTCCCGACAACTCTCTTATATCCGGGTTACACTGTATAAAATTTATATATTTTCCCATGTGTAGAATATATATATATATATATATATATATATATATATATATATCTCATACTGTGAAAATGGAAAAATAATGTATATAATAAGTATATGAAAAATATTTTGTCCATTTTTACTGTTAAATCTAAAACAAAAAAAATTGACATAGAAAACAGCTTATAAAGTATTTTATTGGATTAAAAGCAATTAGAATAGCCATTTATTTGAACCAAATCTGCTTTTTGAGAGTTCACTTTTATAAAGACCTACATTAGTAAAAGTTTCCTCTGCGATACGAAATGGTGCCATACAAAGCAGCAATTACCTTATATGAAAAGAAATTTCTTAGTGTTCCAAGACCACAAAACTAAGCTTTTTCTATGTCTTCCTGTCTTGATGTCAAAGGTCAAGACTTGTCATCTACTATGGCCAATATAGATAGTATACTTGACTACTTAGCCTCATGTGCTGTTTTTTTTTTTTTTCATCATGCAGTTCTTGATACTTAGAATGACATGAAAATCTGCTCAAAACCTACATGCCACTTTAAGAAGCTGTACTCATCTGGAATTGTTACAGTATTGTCAAAAAACTCATGAAAGTTTGTTTTTAGGTCTGGAAATGTTTAAAATTATATTATAAATTATACAAAATATAAATTAATTGTAACTGTTTGTGTTTTGCCATTTTGGCTTTATTTTAAAAATGAATTCACCCCAAGCAAGGTGATAATGCCACTAAGAATCAAGGGGCTACTGGAAGTGAAAGAGAAGACTTTAGAAGGAACTGGTAACTCAATAATAGTATAAATTTTAGAGTTTTGGTCAAGATGTTAGATGTTAGTATAGAGTTGAAGTAAAATTTAGAAGGAACCAGAAACTCGATCCTAATCAGGAAACAAGGTTATGAAAGGTTTCAAAGGAGCACTCGAATTTCAGTTTGCAGAAAGATATGTGTCTCTAGTGATTTCTTTCACTTTCCATGAAACTGTTTAAAAGTGAATTTTTGGTTGGCCATTACCAACAAGACAGATACTGTGAGATTGATATCTGTTATTGGGACCAGTAGAGCATAAGTATAATTATATATACACAGATACAAGATGGTGTTATATTTATCAGCAGAGAAAATAAAATTAAGGAACCAAGTTTGAATTTCAGTTGAAGCTGCTTATGACCAGTTCACATGAACTCACTTCTCCCTGTGCTTTGTCCCATTACTGGAAAACTACAATGACTTATGGAGAAAATGGTGGGTGAAATAACTCTGCCATTACTATGTTAACTGCCCAGTAGCAAAAAGCCATTATCGTCAATGTCAATCTTAATAAAGGTCAAAACAACAATTATCATATTTGACAGAATATAAGATGCACTTCTCCACCCCAACTCCAAAAAATGGCTAAAAAAAAAAAAAATAAATCATGGTGTCTTGTGTGTGAAGTGGAGGCCTCTTGCAGACTAATTTTATCTCCAAACCTAATTTATGATATTATTTTACCTCACATCGTCCTTGATGCTATAATGTTATTTATGCCAACATTATTATTATTATCATCAGTATTGTAAAATGAATTATTATAACACAGTACCAGTAAGATTCTGTTTTATTAATGTAACCATGGAAGATATTTTCACTCTTGCTCTACTGCTAGCTTGCTTTTTATATACAGTAAGGTTTTCTGCTATTGCTAACATGCTTTTCTACTATGCTAATAGCTTGCTTTAAACATTATATAATTAAATACACTCAAAACCTTTTTCTTGAAAATGCCCTGCTAAAATGGAAGCAGGGGTATATCTTTCATGTTGGAAGGAAGGAATGAGAAAGGAGTCAATGGATATTGCAAGAAGGTAATGAAAGATGTCTTTATGAGAAATCTGCAATAATTCTATATATGACCACTTGCAGAGAAGACAATGCATTTTTCATATATTAATAAGTATCAAGGCATACAGTAGTTTACTATGTTATTAAATATACAAGTTAAATATATATCTATCACGGTCCGTTTGTGTATACATCAATGTAGGGTGAGTCAAAGGTAACACCCAAATTCTGGGAAGTCATGTTAATATTTGTTTTGCAGATTATAAATTTTCTTTGCTAATTCTTTTTGCTTTACCTTAATAATTAATTACCCACTTAAATAGTTTGTCATTTATATTACAATGAACAAGGACATGTTTATCAATCAATTTGTAAAATTCTTAAAAATAGGAACTGGGCAATACTTTAATTTAATACTTTCCAAGTATTAAAACCATTAACAATATGAAAGTACTTAACACTATTTACATTATTCAGACTATTGTCCTCATCTTTGTTGCCATATTTATTACAATGTTTTGGCCATTGTATGCTCCGGCCTTCTTCAGGTGGTTGCAATATTGAACTGAACCCTTTATTTCGCTCACTGGGGGTAGACTGTTCTAGTTCCACATGCCATGTTCAATGGATGTCAGTTATCAGTTATCTCCTGTTAGTTCCCCTCTCCAACTTCTCCACTGCCTTAACCGGGTATTGAACTCACACTCTTTGGGTCCTGTCACTGGATCTAACCAACGCCTTTATCCACTGTGCCATGTGTCCTCGAGGACAGGAGATAACTGATAACTGACATCAATTAGACATGGCATGTGGAACTAGAATAGTGAGCAAAATAAAGAGTTCAGTTTGACATTCCAACCACCTGAAGACGGCTGGAGCATACAATGGCCGAATTGTTGCAATAAATATGGCGACAAAGATGAGGATAATAGTCCGAATAACGTAAATAGTGTACATAATATCTCATCTCAGAAATATAGACAGACACTGAAAGTACATTAAAAAAAAAAAAAATGGAAACATTAAATATGGCAGCAAAAGACGAGGGAAAATGAAGTTCACATGCCTAATACTGTAAGGATCATTGGTTAGGAATACTTTTACAGTGGTGTCCCTTTGGGTTCAATTTCTGTTATATATTCTTGTCCAATAATGACAATTTGCCAGATTTATAAAGGTTTTTGCAATCATTACTCAACAATAAAGCATCTACCCGTTGACCTCATTGTAAATAATGGAAGGTTAGGCTTATTAAATCTCATCTTGACTTTTAGACCAAACGTAAATCATCTTTGGCTTGATAAATCTCTCATATTATTAAGACTCAACTATTAGACAAGACAAAAATCATCTTTTTCTCAAACTGATAAAATTATAAAATCTGTTATACTAGAGAAAACACTATTTTAAAATTAACAAATTAAGTACAACCAAAAAGTTTGGAGAATTTGAACAACACATGTGATCCAAATCAAGTACAGATTTTTGTCATTATCCTTTCAGTCAATTTGCTTTTTCCTAAGAGTATCCACGGTTTCCCTTGAAGTGGAACCAAGTATTAGCATAAAATTTTTTTGATTTAAAATTTTCTGGAGTGTTTTGTATTAAACCTTGTTTAAGCAAAACCATAACGTTTATTCTATATATAAAATTCTGTGACTTCTGTTAGTCCGTCTGTCTGTCTGTCTGTCACACCTAAAATAACCATACATTGACAGATTGAAAGCAAATTTTAGGGAGAAGTGCAAAGAGATAAGTGGGTACAAAATACAATTAGTTTTACTAGGGTGTGTAGTTTAGTACAATAAATTTTCATTCATTTTTTTTTGGGGGGGGGATCAAGTTTTATTATTTAACATACAAAATATTCCCACTATTTTAAAAACAATATAATGATTAAATCAACAAATACTTATGCAAAAAAACAAAAACAATATTGCATTTTTATTAAATATCTTTTAAGTTTATTTATTATATATATATATATATATATATATATATATATATATATATTTTCATTCTGGTACTATATAATGCATAGTAGTAGCACTGTAAATAGAAACACAGTAGGGAGAGTTTCAAATAGGCAGAGGATTTTTCTTAAATTTTTTTTTTTTTTTAGCATTTCACCCCAAGCAAGGTGGGAGTGCCACTAGCATGCAAGGGGTTACAGAGAGTGAAAGTAAGAGTAAAGAGGGGTGTTTGAAGAAAGGATATAGAGATGGTCAGGATCAAGGTAACAGTAGATGTCAATTGAATATTTGAAGGGAAGCAAGTAGGAGGAAGGGAGTTCCACCATCAGGAAGTGCGAGAGAAGCTGTTGGAGTAGAAGAGACAGCTACATTTAACCATTTCGACAATGAAAGGGTGGGACTGAGATGTCAACCTAGTAGCCTGCTTATCATGAATTCCTATTAAAGAAATAATTAAATAGTATTTTTCCAAACAAATCAGCTTATTCAAATTTAATCAATTGGTTTTTGAAATTGAACAAAATGTAGAGTTTGTAAATTTCAACAAAAAACTTCAACAATACTAAATGTTGTGAGGATCTCAACACACGTCGGCATATTGCAAAAAAATTTGAGTTGAAAAAAATACAAAATGGAAGCCATGAAATGGTCCAATAAAAATCATGCAATTAAAAAGCAGCTTCTTTGTGCATGTGTGCTAAAAGAAAGACAAGAATTAATGATAAACAATTGCAAACATTTACCTTCAATGATACCTTTGGCCACCAATGTCTCTATATCTGGTCTTCGTTTTAACAAAGTGGTTAGTATTGTTCTTATGCTTTTCTTCTCCTCTTCGTCTTTCCCTTTCGGTCGTTTTACAGAAGCTTAAAAAGAAAAAAAATAATCAAGGTTATTTTTAATTTCACTCCAAGCAAGGCAATAAAGCTACTAAGATTCAAGGGGTTACTGAGTTTGAAAAAATGAGAAAAAGAAAACATTAAGGAAAGAGAACAATAAAAGAACAAGAATTAAGATAACAATTGATATTGCATTTAAATTTTTGAAGATCAACATTGACTGGAAAGCAAGAAGCCACAAGAGATTTTACAAGCAAGAAATGCAAGAGAAGAAACTTTTAGCATAGAACTTATAGTTACATCTAGCCATCTTGACTATAAAATGATGAGACCTAGCTGCCAATCTAGTACTGCACTTAAATTCATAGTCTAGATACCAAAGTGGAAAGCTCATCAGAATAATTACCATGAAAATATTTATAGAAAAGGTACATTATATCAGTAGGAAAGTGACTGATATGAAAGAAAAGTATCAGTCAGTTAAGTGCCACACGTGATACACGCATGGGTGATCATGTACCTTTCGATACATGACCGACGAGGCAGATTTTCCCACAGTAGGTTGCCATTTTCTTCTGCAGTAGATTGGTTGCCAACCAAGGTTAAAGAATTCAATCTGTAGTGCTATTCAACCCATAGCTGGGAGGAGAAACTGGATTCATACCTTTCCTAGGGGTATTTGTACGTAAGTGAATCTAATTAACTCGACTGGAATTCGAAATAGACTCTCTGAGTACTCATGATATTGAGTCACCCCCCCCCCCCACGAGGGTGTCATGTGGCACAAGGCCTTTTTAATGTGGGCGTTCTGAGCCCATGGGCTCGGCCAAAAATATGCCCATTGAACCCGTATAAACAGGTTCATGGCCGGTTTACCTCCCCAGAGGAGACTCCACCCTTCGGCGGAGCCTCCTTCAGGTTCCTCCTGTCCATAGGAAGAGAGTTCAACCGAGCAGTCGGTTCAAAAGTGAACGACTGACTCACTCCAAGCCAATATCCATTACACCCCCAAAAATATACAAAAGAAATAACATGCAAAAAAATTAACATTATACATATAAATAATTCTATTCTGACAGTTATGTTTGCATTAATTCCTGACCTTTGATAATCCCTTTTCTCTGTTCATGCATTTCTATATAACACAGTTTTTATTCTCAGATATATCTTTGTAGTTAATAGATAATGAAAAAATTCAAGATTTAACTTTCTGATTTCAAGTTTCATAGATACACTGCTAATCATGAGCAGATAAATTTATTCTCTATTATAAATCTGACCCTGACGAGGGGTTAATCTGTGAAAATTAAGGTCGTAAAGATAAGTCTTTTGAATTTTTATTTATTTAGTAACTATTGTTGCTCTGTTTTTTTAACATTGAGCACTTTGGTTACCAAAATCTGTTCACCTTTAAATGAGTTAAACTTTAGTAATTTACTGGACTCTGTGTTCTGTTGAGCATCAGTTATCTATGTTATATATTTTTTTATGTGGCTCTTTTCTCTATCAGCAGAAAAGTTCATCTCTATGTAATTCAATAGTGAAGAGAATTTGTTTTATTTAGTATTCAAAAAGTATTGTATATAAAGAAGAAAAAAAGCAAAAAGTTTTTGATATTTGTGTAAATACAGTTCTATTGCTAAATAACTTGAATATGACACAAGTAAACAAGTTAACTTATAAAATTATAATTATTCAATGGTGAATCAATTTTATGCTATTTACATTGTTCGGACTGTTGTCCTCATCTTTATTGTCATATCACAATGTTTCGGCTGTTGTACACACTGGCATTCTTCAGATGATATACATTGGAATTTCAAACCAAATCCTTTATTTCATCCACCAGAGTAGATTGTTCTAGTTTCACATGCCATGCCTCTTCCAGATATCTCGGTTACAGTTATTTCCCTTTAGTAACCCAACTCTCGAAGTTTTTGTAGTCAGGTATTGAACTCACAACTCTTTGGGTAAAGTCACTTCAACCAGTACTTTTATCCACTGGGCCATGTGTCCAAAAACAACAGTCCAAACAATGTAAATAGAATACCTCATCTCAGAAATATATGCAGATGGTGAATCAAATGTTATTTGTTTAACTTAATATTCTTCTATGTGCTATGTCCCTTCAGGATGTTGACAATCATGGCTCTCCACAATTTCCTATCCTTTGTAGCACTTAATAAATTTTGCCTTTTTGTTATCTCTCCTAAACCTTGCTCCGCCATCCATTTACTCAAGCTTTCTCGGTAGGTTATATGTTATTTTCCTCTGTCACGGTTGCCTTCAATCTGTCCTGTGAGTAGCAAATTTTCCAAGCCCTCTTTCCTCATTATTGGCTCTAGAAACTCTATCTCTTCCTGATAAGTATAAGTGTGCTTTTTGTTTCCTTTTTTCTCTAAAACTTCACCGTTGCTCACATGTTTGGTCTATGGTATTCTTCTGTAGAACCATATTTCTGTTGCTTCAAATCTCTTTTTCATCTGTGAAGAGATTGTCCAGCATTCACTACCATATAGGAGGACTGATATTATGTAATATTTCAGTACTCTTTTCTTTGTTTTAATGAAATTAGTTTAATATTCAGAAAGTATTAAAAAGACAAGAAAATGGAGAAAAAAAATGTCAATTTAAACTCATGCCTGGAGGGTATGGTTTTTTTTTTTTTTTTTTTTTTAATGTTGTGACGATTTTGATTAAAGTTTGTATTTTCTTGATTTCAAATGAAAACGTGGAGATTTCCCAACATATTTCAGTTAAATTTTCACTTATATATATTATGAAATGGACAAAGTCTGACAATTATTTTAAGACATTTTTATGTTTAGACATTCTTTTTATAGATACAAATATTTAAGTAAATGCTCCGTTTATAATAAACAGTATGAACATTTACCGGCCTGAATGTTCAAGAAATTTTCATAGAAAATATTCATCCTCCGACAGGAATCGAACCTGTATCCTATACGGAACTGTCATATAGCCTGACGTGTTTTTACCGATTGAGCCACAGAGAAGCGTTTATTTTTTATTCTATTTTTTATTTTTGATTCCTGTAGGATGATGCATATTTTCTTGATTACACATCATTTCAGTTATAAATGCCCGTTTTCGTTTGGTCTTTTCTCTTTCCTTCCTTCTTTCTTTCTTTTCCATCCAACCGTTTTTCCTTGTGTCTCTCTCTTCCTCTCTCTCACCTTCTCCTTTCATGTATACATAAGTTTAGTAAATACAAACCAGACGACAAATTTTCATTTTTACATTGGCATTGTAAATTGGCTAGATATTAAATTTGGATTGTATAATGATTTTCCTCATTTATCATGTCTAATGTCACCACAAATGTATCCATGCTTTTCTGGGGTCTGGTTTTTTAATTTAGGTCAACGAATTGGTAGTTGATTTATGCAACTGATAATAACTCATATTTATCTGTATCTCACTCATTTAAATTGTTATTTAACTTCTCTCTTTAAAATTTTATCCCTCGTCTTATACCTTTTCCTCTTTTTCTTCTTTTGTTACACCTCTCTCTAGAGCTTTCATACATTTCCTTCTCACCCTTGTTTCTCACTACCACACATACTCTCTTTTGTTTTTTTTAAAACCCAGATATATATTTTCTGTTTCCTTTTTGAATTTACAGATCTGATGAATTGAATCATGATTACAATTATAACTATGAAATATTAGTGTGTGAGCCTTTTATATATATATATATATATATATATATATATATATATATATATATATATATATATAATCATATATCTAAACTATATAAATACATGTATATACAATCATATATATATATATATATATATATATATATATATATATATATATATATATATATGTGTGTGTGTGTATAAAAAATAATTCCAAGAGGATAGAATCCAGGTAGAACTCAATGTCCAGGACAGAAAGCCTTTTTAATATATAAGATGTTTAATCTAAATAAATGGCAATCCATATGTCTGAAAAACCTCTAACAGGCCACACTTGCTCTACATAGACAATATTATGCCTTTTTGGAATCAGTGTGATCCCAGGATTAACAATCTTGAACATCCTGCATTTGGAATTGTGTCTGGATTAGGTGGGAACAGTTAAAATGTCAAATTTTAAGATAACTGAAAAAATTACTGATTTTAAAAGTTTTTTTAATTCATATTGAGTTTAAAGTAACACAAGAATTTTGTGAATTTAAAAAAAAAAATGTTTTAAATTCAGTTTAAAATATCTCCAAAATTTTGTGAATTGAGGAAATCAATTTTATTTCTTTAAAATGCCAAGGAATCAGAGTTACAGTGTGAGGTTTTGTGACTCTGCAGAGTTTGTGATTTAAAGAACTCAATTTTTAGCCCAAATTTGATTTATAGCCTAAATCAGAGTTACAAGTGAGGTTTTGAACTTACATGTTGAGTAATTCAAAATTATTTCTTTAAAATTATTATTTCTGTTTTCTAAGCAAATTAACACTCCATAGGAGCTAAAGTATGCACAAAGTGCGGCTTTTAAGCTTGTGTTAAATATATGAGTAACTTGTTAATTTCTGATATTTAGTTTTCATGTAAAGAATTTCAGTGAAAATATGAAACTGCTGGTGGTGGTTGTTCTTTAAAAATATCTAGCCTTACACCATTGACCTTACACATTTATCCTAATTTCTAGAGTTTCTGACAGTCATATATTAACAGCTGGTTTCCTGAAAACTTATCTTCAGCCATAAGATCTGTTTCAAGCTGAGACTTAATTAGTTCTTGGTCGAGAATGAGCCACCAAAAAGTCATGGAGTAGGGGATTAGAAAGGTGCAGAATAGATAAAAACCAAACAATATAGATCCTGCTTTATTTTTGAATAAGCAAATGTGAGATATAATTAACCCTGTAAGCCATCACTATAAGTTTGATTTTTGATAAATTAGCAAAAGGTCAAAGATGTTGAAACTTTTTTTGAGGGGATTTCTGAACACCTTGGAATTTTAGATAGTTACATCCTTCTAGATAAAAGCAGTACTTTAAATCCTGATTTTCAAAGGCTAGTCTCATTTAGAGTCTCTATTTGGCCTTGTGCCTGACAAAGCTAAAATTAAGAAATGCATATATCTTTATATTTTCGGCAACTGATGTTGCATTTAAATTTTTAAAGCAAGATATCATAACCCTTCCACGGGAGAGAAATGCAAAAAAAAAAGGCGTCTATTAGAATTGAACTTATGGTTACATGTAGCTATGAAACCTAGTTACCAGTTTTGTAAAGTGAAATTCATGCAGTTGAGGTACCAAGCAGATGAGTTTATTAGGACAACTGCCATGAAAATATTTATAGAAAAGGCACAGAGAAGCCATGTCACAGCTGTAGAATAGTAACTGAAAATGAGATGCCAGGTCAGGACCAATAACATTACAGATCCTTTGAATTTTATCAAGAATCTTAAGATATGTAGCAGGAACACCAGACAAGGTATGGTAGCAATATTCAGTGTATGGATGAATGGTAGATTTATAATTGTGCAAGATGTATTCTGATGGAAAAAACTGACACGACACAATGAATACTCTACCAGCAGACCTAGCAATTGATTCAATATAATCACTTCACTTCATGTCGGTGGAAAACATGAGATCAGGAAAACAATGATTTTTTCTGCTGAAGGTTAGCATCAGCCATGCTGATGAAAGGCAAAACTAGTTCTATATGATGATTAAGAGATAGCAGTTTCATTTTGAGAGGGTTAAAATTTACAAGCCATTTCTTGCCCCAGTTAACAATTGATCGAGTATCTGCTAGTTTTACTTTGTCAGACATATCAAACAGCTGAATTTCTGGAATGAACATGCATTGGAATAAAGCTTCTTTAGATAAGAGTCTGACTTTTTTTTTTTCCCAAGATTAAGTAAAAATTCTTTATTAGTCAAAAGAATAGCTATTTACTTACTGATAGGATTAACTATATACTTAGTGGAAACAAGAATATAATAATCATTTTATACTAATACAGAAGCTGTTTATTGTAATTTCTTTGCTTGGACAGAGTGTTCTAGATAAGTGCTTTTCAAGAAATTTAAAAAATGGGCCTGGAGTTGGCTTAAGAAGGTGGGCTTTGAAATTCTTTTTTTTTTTTTTTAAATTTTTAACCTTTAGCACTCTGCATTATTAATATTACTTCCCTTCCGACTGCATTCTTTTTCAAGGCCTCTCGATTGCAGTAACCTTATTGTTAATTTCATTCATAAATGTTTGTGGTGGTGGTGTTGTCTTTTTGATCAAATGTTCAAATTCTGTCATTTGTCAAATTCACAGCCCCAATTCATACAGGCACGTTACCAGGTAGGTAATCCATATATATATATATATATATATATATATATATATATATATATATATATATATAAATTTATAAATATATATTTTTCTACCTCATTTATTTGTGTGCTTTTTTTTACATCTATTAACATTTTAAAAATCAATGGCAAAGTTTGATGTACCAAAACTCGGTGAAGCTATCAAATTGTGGATGAGATCATGTTAAAAATACTACTTTCAGATCTTTTAATTCTAATATGCACTTTGCATATTTTTTTCAAAACATGATTATTACTTAAAACTCTTCAATATTAATCTATTCAAATTCTAACAAAGGTTTACACTTATCAGTTTATAAAACAGCTTTGTTTTTTTCCTCTCTCTTCATGATTGTAAAGCAAAAGTCTGAAAGATTTGAAGTTTCATCCTAAGCTTAGTAATAGATTCACCTTAGAAAAGAAAAACTTATAAAAAATCTCTTAACCTTTAGTACTCTGCATTATTAATATTACTTCCCTTTTCACTTCATTCTTTTTCAAGTCTTCTCAATTGCAGTAACCTTATTGTTAATTTCACTCAAACTTGTTTTCTGTTGCCATAGCAGGATATGACAACACAATGATGACTTTCAAACGCAATTGTTCAGGTATCAGTCACCTTCAGTGGCAGGATAAACTTTTTGTACAGAAGTCAGAGAGTAATAAAAGTTAAAGACAAATAATTTAGAAATACAATTTTTCAATATTTTCTTTATAAATTATATTTTTCAAATTGGTTTGAAAATTTTTTTGTTTTATTGTGTACTGTTAGCAAGGACAGTGCATGCTACCTCCAAACCCTACAACCAGTGAGGATTTGAGGGTCGTGACCCTCACTATTTTATCAACATTTTTTTTCCTACCTATATTTAAATATGTTAGAAATTAAAATAAGCACAACTGACTATCAAAAGTTGAAAAATTTTTGCAGATTTTAATGATTCTGGGATTTTTTTTTTTTTGTTCAAATCTATGAATTTGTTTTGCTCATGCTAAGTCACCAAAAAGAAAAAACACTGTATAAATTTCACTAATTTTTATCTATAATGAACATGTCAAAATTCAACTTTTTAACAAAAAAAAAATCCCAAGTTGATGTTAAATTTGCTGCAAAACATTGATTTATTTAAGATGGAATGATCTATTATGACATGTCTCTAATTTGTATTTATTTTCAATTTTTCTAGTTGAATAGTTCACTTATATTGCATATGATCCATTATTGTACATAATTAAGTTACAATAGAATTTGTATTTTATATGAATACTACCTTATAAAAATTGAGATGCAGTAGAGTGGTGGTCCTGTATCATGGATTCTGAGGAGGGAGCTATCATGGATTGGGGACACAAGGCCCTTGCATCAGCTCTTCAGGAATGACCCTAGCTATCAACATTTGCTTTTTTTCTACCTACATTTATATACATTATAAATTAAACTCAGCACTATTAAATTGTTAAAGGGTGAAAAAATTTTGGATTTTGATGTCATGCTAGCCCCCCCCCCCCGGTCCAAATCCATGAATTTGTTTTGCTCATTTTAAGTCTTAAAAGGACTCAGTATAAAATGCATTATTTTTTTATCCATAATGTTGAATGTGTTAAGTTATTCAACTTTTTAAAAGAAGTCTCAAGTTAAAAACTACCATAAAACATTGTTGGTTGATTTATTTAAGATGGAATGATCTATTATGATATGTCCCTAATTTGGGGTCTGTCTATATTTCTGAGATGAGGTATTATGTACATTATTTACATTATTCGGACTATTGTCCTCATCTTATAAATATCTTATAAATATGGCAACAAAGATGAGGACAATAGTCCGAATAATGTAAATAATATCCCTAATTTGTAATTATTTTCAATTTTTCTAGTTGAATTGTGTACATTGCATATGATCCATTATTGTACATAATTAAGTTACAATAGAATTTGTATTTTATATGAATACTACCTTATAAAAATTGTAATGTAGTAAAGTGGGGGCCCACAAGACTATTACACCGGCCATGGGTGTTAAAAAGACTTTGGATTCATTTATTTTCCTTTATTTGACAAACTTGTTAGACACCAAGAATAGTGTAATCATTAGTTAGGATTTATATTTTCTAGTACATTTTGCTTTTGTAAATATCATATTTGAAATTTTTTTGTTTTTTTTTACACCAAAAATGGGTTACTGCAAGAAAGGTTGAGAAACACTTTTTTTGATAATAACTGGCTTATAACATTAAGAAAATGGATATAAAAACTAGAACAACTTACATTCATTTTTATCAATTCATCGTTAGAACTTTACATTATAAAAATCATACCTTGGGCACCTTGAGGCGGTGTAATAGTTAGCAAGCTTGTCTCACTAGAACAATTATGACTGAGTAGTGAGTTCGGTCCTCACTGGGTGCCTCCTACTTTCAACCTTGTATCACATCTAAGCTATTCTTGGAAAATTACTAAAAATCATACCTAGGACTTTGATTATAAAAGCAGATAATTTTTTTTACAGGTGATGAATTATTTTCCACCCTGCAGCCTCTTTCCTCACAGACAAAATGTTGCTAGCTTCTTGATACTTTATCTTTATTTCCATGGAAAATATTCAGATGAGATACATTTCACATTTCCATCAGTTCAGACCTTTACAACTAGGACCAACCATGTCACGTACACAGCATCATCTCATCCTTATTCCCTTTGTATTCCATTGGTAAGGAGGAAGTTTCATTCAGATATGTTCTTCGACAAAATTGTAACTTTTTAGGACAGGCTCCTGAGAAGATGCTTTCTTGACCATTTCAATCTACAGGCAAGAGTTAACAATTATCTACCTATATATCCTTATAATATGCATTTCTTACTTCCTCATCTTTTGGGTAGATGAAGCTTGACAGTCCAGGAAGGCAGCCCATTTAGAAGAAGGAAAACTCTGATTTTAAATCTCCACTGCCTTGTAGTCAAGTCCAAATATGGAAAAACTTATGGAAGTAAATCCAGACAGAAAACCTGGACTATATTTTGACCAAACAGACCTTTTATCTTGCAAGATAAATGGATGCTTATTACTTCACTCACCTCCTTTACAACAACTTCATTCAGTGACACTCTACCTTGGGTGGCTCTTAGGCAAATAATGGTATAAAAAAATTAAATTATTTGGGACTGACTGATTTTGATAATAATGAACAGATATCTCTGTACAATGTTTTTAAAAAGTTATTACTTACATTTACTTTTGAAAACTTTTCCTGGGGAGAGAGATTTTTCTTTCATAGTGGTTCGAGTTGGACTTCTTGGGGCTGTTTCTGTTTGATAAGGCTGTGGAGATGTCGGAGAATAAGGTTGTTGATGTGGTGAGGCTTGCTGAGGTGAAGTATCCTTGCTAGTCTGAAAAGATAAAAAAGATCTTTTTAAAAACAAAAACAAGATGTATTGAGCCAGCAGTGTTCAATTACCAGCAATATGGTTCACCAGCTAAATGTTCAGGTTGAGATGACACCATAGACACAGTGTTCTTATTTGAATTTCCAAGACCAGACACTGTTGTTATAGGGTGTGGCAGAAATACCTCCCACATATGGCCACTTGTATCTGAAGATGTCGGTTTACTAGGGCGGCTAGCTAATCCCTGTTCCAGATGCCTGGTCAGGCACATTTGTGTTTGCTCAACACCCATGTGGTTTATTCTGAGCGGATCTTAGTTACAGTTTCTGGGAAAGAGCGCATTATTTAGTATGATCAACAGTCTGAAAAAGGGCAACACACTCAAACTTTTGGTCACAATGACTTGTGACTTTGTGCTAGCACAACCATTGACAGCTCCCAAAAGGTTCTGTCTACCCAATTTTACTCACAAGGCTTGGGTCAACTCATGATACAGTCTTTCAGGCACTTTCCAAAGGTGCTGCACACATATCTCCTACATATGCTCCCCAGATAATAAAATATTGACATCATTACTGCTAACATCTTGGTATTTCTGAAAGGTATAAGTGGGAGGTATTTCTGCTGTACCCTGTATTATACATTGATTCATTTGCATGAGCCTCCTTGTCTTTGTTGTTTTGATTACATTTCATCCATTGTACTCCTCAACCTTCTCTAGATGTCTATAATAGTAAATACTGTTTAAAAATATTAAAATGGACCACCACCGGGATATGCAGTTTCTGTTTCTCTTTCTCTGCAAGTCACCTCTTTGAGATTTTTGCATTCATTTGGACATCTCCTAAGCTTGTCTTAGTTGGTTGATCACTTTAAGTACTGTTAATAATTTGTGTCCTCCAGCCAGACTAAGTCCTTGCCTTTATGCGGGCTTGAACACTTAATTCCTGAGCAGTCTAGAAAGACAACTTTGAAGTTCAAACCAAAGAGAAGGCAATGGAAAACTACTCCATTATCTTCCTTAATCATGACAAGGCACAGTTTAGATATAAGAAAAGAAAGCTGTGGAGGACCATGACCAGCCATCTCCTTAAAAAAAAAATGGCAGTTAAAGTAACAGAAAACACATACCATCTACCAAACAGGTTCAAATAGAATTTGCTTACAGCCACATCATATTGAAACATTGGTTCCTGTCCAATCACCAAAGTTAAGCAATGTCGAGTCTGGTCAGTACCAAAATAAGTAACCACTTGGGAATAACATGTGCTGTAAGCTTGGATTAAATAACAGCTTGGAATTGTTAATCAGAGAGCAGTGTTCCAATTCCTGTTGCGTTTGTTATATTCATTTATGTGCAAACACCCTTGGGAAGAGTATGAATCTACTTCTTTTTGCACACAAAATATTTAGATTTTGGCATTAAATAACCCATTGAGGTGTTCAACCAACCAAATAAAATTTGTTATGAAAATTAAGGACGTATAAATATTTATTACATAGATTTTGCATAACATAAGAATTTTTTTTTGTATTGGTAAATATTGGTTTGGAATATTTTTGTTTTAAGGCATATCAACCTCAATGGGTTATTTAATGACGACAATATTTTTACGATAGATTTGTATGAATAGAATATGTATTCTTTGGGTTAGATTGGTTTGGTTTATTTTGTTTTACGGCATATCAACCTCAATGAGTTATTTTTTATTGCTGGTAATATTTTGTTTTGTCAAAAATCTGTTTCTGGTAATATTTTTTCTCCAAAATTGAATTGCTGGTAATAATTTTTTTAAAAATGTATTGCTGGTAATAGTTAACTATTTGCCCATAGCTGGGACCCTAAAAGGTGCTACCACCCCAGGTCAGGGTGGACCTGGGAACACCAGCAATTAAGAGGTGGTTTCATGCTTCTCAAAACCTCTTGATCAGAGACCTTGTTTATCGTCTTACCCAAGATGCGGATGTAGTTTAACATCTTACCCAGGACAAGGTAAATATTGGTTCTTCATTATTGTTGCCATGATTTGAAAATATGGATTAAATATGACAGATTTTACCAATATAAAACAAACTTCTAATATCAGTATAACATAAATTCCTCATTCTGTTACATTTAATCCATGTTTTCAACTCTTCTTGTTGGAACATAGAAACAACAAAAAATGCACCAATATTTAATTTACTAATGTAAAAACACTTCTAATATCAGCATATAAACCAAAAAAGAATTTAAAATTTGATCAATTTGCCATCAGTGAAGCCACAGTTACTTATGATAAAAGGCAGCATTATGTACAGTCTCTCTTAAATTCTGGTTTGGTTTGTTCTGCTTTACTGCATATCAACCTCAATGGGTTATTTAATACTGACAAGATTTTTATTGCGGGTAATAATTTTTCAAAAATGTATTGCTGCTAATATTTTTTCCTTTAAAAATGTATTGCTGGTATTAAAACCAATTTTTACACTTTCATAGTATTTTGACATCAGCTTGGGAGTTAACTATTTGCCCATTGCCGGGACCCTAACAGGTGCTACCACTCCAGGTCAGGGTGGACCTGGGAACACCAGCAATTAAGAGGTGGTTCCATGCTCCTCAAAATATCCTGATCAGAGGCCTTGCTGTTGGATGTAGTTTACCATCTTACCCTGGATGCAGATGTAGTTTATCGTCATATGCAGGACACCTTAAATTCTGTATAGTCTTCACATTGGTTAATATGGCCGAATGGTTAAGACATACGTGATGCAATTTCAGTAACAAGTGAAATGTGCAGCCCTTTGAAATCATTTTATGACTTCCTCTTTATAGAAAACTGAATGTATTTTCTAATAAATGTAATATTTTAAATAGACAAACAATTTAGAAGTGACATGTACTAAACTAGTTCTATTATAATTGTATTTTCCCCTCCCTTTGTTTGCACGACCATTATGCCCTGCCACTACCTCCATAAATAATGGACTATTTCATTTTGATTGCATGGAAAGAGGGTGAAAAGACACTACTCGATTTCAGTGGGAAAGTGAAAGAAAGAAAGTGGAGAGAGAAAATAAGAACAGATACTACACTTTGATCTTAATATTTATTTGTAAAAATGACAAAATGTGCCACAAGGGTGAAATTTGGGGATGGGGGAAAAGGATTGGTCATCTCTAGTCTTAACTTGTAACTAGCTAGTCGCTCTCAATGACCCATTTGTACTGACAATAAACCTTTCACCATAATACCACATTTGCACTAAACTCTCGTACCACAATTACCAAAATACCTCAATTATTCCACTAGAATCCTAGCATGAAATTTTATTTACACAAAAAGCAGGGTGTCTAGACAAACATGATAAGTGCCATTTTTCAAATACAGTATTGAATGATGGAAACCAAGTAAGGTAATCACCAAAAATTCAGTTACTATAAATAAAATAACATCGTCTGCTAAATTATTTAAAAATTATTAAGAGAAATGTTTATAAGACAGGGATTTGTCTAGTATTATAAATGACCTCTTTTTAAAAAGACAAAAAATTTAGATTTGAAATCTGATCATCTTCCAGTCAGCAAAGCAAACTAGCAAAGGCTTAAAATTGAAAGATTTGATTTTGTGATCTTTCAAGTAATTTTTTTTTTCTTAGAGAACATGGTATCTGCTGCCGCCACTTTTCCAGCAGACACACAAAATGGTTTATTTAAAATATATCTTATTGGAAATGCTTTTATACAAACGCCAGTGGATAATGATACAGCCTTTTTATATAAAAAGATAAAACTGGAGTTAGATAAAACAATTCTATCGTCATAATCTTCAATTCCTTCTTCTTTCAGTCATCACACGCATCATTCATCATAACCATTTTGACAGTAATCCTCTACCTTGAGTGACTCTCGAGCCTTGTATTGTGTGAACTTTAATATAAAAAGAACTCTGCTGCATCATTATCTTTTACTGAGTATAAAATATGAATGACTTGTTCATCCAAGAAGCAAATGATGTGTTTGCACCCTCCCAGCGAACATTCGAATGCTGGGAGAGATCTTTGATTTCTTTTTATCACAATGATTTAAAATACAATTTGAAAACTTTAACGGCTTATGGCCATATCACATTGAAACTTCAATTCTCTTATGATCACTGAAGTTGAGCAATGTCAAACCTGGACAGTACCTAGATGGGTGACCATTTAGGAATACCAGTTGCTCTAAGTTTGGATACACATATTAGAGTTGTGAAAGACGTGTGGTCAAGTGGCTATTTTGCTCACCAGCTTAAGGATGCCATGTCATTCCAAATAACATCTGAAATTGTTTGGAACTTTGCAGGATTATTTTTTTACTGTTTATCTTTTATTTAAATTTCCACTGAGTCTGGAACAAGTGACATCATCAAATATAATTGAAGAGAGATTGAATTCAGTTGAATCATTTCAGGATTTATAGGGTTTTGCTCAATTTTCAATAGTAATTCATTGTAACAACAAGCAGTCACATGACCTCCCAAGAACAAAACGAATCAATTATATATTAAGATATTTGAGTTTAGTTAATATTTAACTAGTTTTAAAAAATAAATTGTTTCAAATAAAATAAAACTAAATAAATTGGAATTGATAAGGTTTATTTAAAATATAATTAATTTGACAGTGGATATTAGGCCTATTTCAAACCTAGATTTATATAGTGTTGCCTATTCGATATTTTGCACAGCTAGGGTTCTCAAGTACCCTTTAAGGTTCAAATTGATACAGATAAAACCTATAAAAACACTATAGTATGTATTGCCTGTTAGTAACTGATTTAAAATATTTTCTTTTATTACTTTGTTTATGGTACTTAAATAAATTTTATGTAACATTTTTATTTTTTTTAAAGTACGGCTCAGTTATTAGTCCTGGAGTTCAAGTACACACTGCCTGGTCCAGGGATTGAACTTAGAATTACTGTCCCCAACTTCACTATGTTATGGTTCTATACACTAATTCTCTGTGATGAACTTTGAGCCTTAAACCTGTTTGCTAGTGCTGCTGCTTGTCATGCGGCTGAAGCCTTGCTGTCATCTTATATTTTTTTTTTTTTTTTTATTAGTAGTTCACATATTGTATTTATTTCTACTAAAAAGACCCGTGAAAATTTCACAGTTTACCTATTTAAAATTTCTGAAGAATCTTAATTCTTCAGTTAATAATTGAATAAGCTCATGGCAAGTTCTATGGCAATAAATATCCATAGAAATTTCCCTATCAAATCATTATCATTCAGTTTCTATTATTTGATACTGTATATCTGAAAAATAGCACTCTTATCAGTTGCCATAGCTTCTCAGCCTTTTGGTTAAGATCAAAGTGTAATATCTGTTCTTATTAGCTATTGTAGAGTAGTTTCACAGTGGAGGCTTGTATTTGTACTAAGTCGGTCCTAAAATAGGTTCGACATACAAAACGTTAGGAACTTAATATCATAGGTAATGATGCAGAGAAATCTAGTTGTGGTTGCTCATATTTTTAGTATACGACTAATGGTCATCCGGCATCGACTGACTGACCAACTCACTGAGCGACTGCTACTCCTACTTCTGTCTATTAACTATAGAATAGGTGTGTTCCACTATAACATTAGCTTAATATGATTCTCTTTGTCCACTTTTATCTTCCCTTTCTTTCATTTTCTTACTAAAACCAAGTTTCTTTTCCCCCTCTTTCCACATGATCAAAATGGAATAGTCCATTATTTATGAGGTATTGGCAGGGCATAACTGTCATGCAAACTAATGAAGAGAGAGACAAGCATAATCATAATAGGATGCTAGGCCTACATAAGGAGGTCCTCATAGTCTAGTCTGATTATTTCAGATGTCTTGAATATTGTTTTAAGAATTTTTTTTTTTTTTTTGTGAGACTGTCTAAACAGATTAAAATAAGACGTAAAATGATTGCTAAACTGAATTTTGGACAAATTATTTTAATTATTGTACCTAAAGCAAGACAATTATTACACTTATTTTTTGTAATTTTCATTGCTAAATCAAGAAAAAAAAATTCACCCATTTTGCTGAGTTCTTGTGTTATTTGATCAAGATAGTGTGTGTATAAAAAAAGAAAATGGAGGACAAGCAATTATAAGAGGCACTTGAGATCTTGTGCTTAAGGTTGCATTTCTCTTGTAATTACTCTTTGTAGTTGGCAACTGGAAAGAAGATTTCCAATTAACAATATCCTTTTAAGCTGACACACCAAGATTAAAACTGTGCCAGGACCTTTGTTTACAATGATGTAAAGAAAATCTATAAAAAGGCTTACCTATATTCAACATCAAGGTTAACCAGTATTGCCAAGTTTTTCATAGCTTCTTTAAATTTTCTTGGTTAATTATTTTTTAACATTAACATTTAAGAGAATTCAATTAGACAAATGCTCCTGCAAGCAGATCGATTCTTTGACACAAATACAAACAGAGACTTCAAAACAAGTTTACTGCTGAGGAAAGAAAACAGCAGTCCATTGTAGAATGTAGCCACTTGCAAGCTTCTCTCAATGGTTGCTATCTGTAAACTGTCTAGTTGGGAATTTCATTATCTTATGCTCTCATATTCAAAATATCACATGAACCATTAAAAGATGAACACAAAGGGTTCTATAAAACATATATTTTAAAATGTTTTTTTTCTTGTGTATATAAAATATTGTTTTATATAAAATGCATATTTATCATAAAGCAACATGTAACTGTCTATATTTCTGAGATGAGGTATTATGTATACTATTTACATTATTTGGACTATTGTCCTCATCTCCTGAGCCTACAAAATATAGAAATGAATGGGAACCAGTAATAAAGAGTGCCAGAGAAAAGCGATAACAACAACAACAAAAATTGCAATATGAGCTCTGGTAAAAACATGGAATGATAACAGCAAAAAATATGAGCACTAGTAAAAAAAATGGTTGCTGAGACATTAGGTTTATAATACCCAGAAATTCATACACAGATGTCCTCAAGGAATCATGGCACAGTGGATAAATCATGGCACAGTTGGTTAGATCCAGTGACAGGACCTAAAGATAAGATGTGAGTTCAATATCCGGTTAAGGTAGTGGAGAACTTGGAGAGGGGAATTAACATGAGATAACTGACATCCATTAAACATGACATGTGAAATGAAATAAAGAGTGTACAATGGCCGAAACATAATAAATATGGCACATAATAAATATGGCAACAAAGATGAGGACAATAGTCCAAATAATGTAAATAGTGAGCAACATGTAACTATAGAAAAACATAACAAAAAATAATGCTGATGATATGAAAAGGTTAAAATAGACATAAAAATATGAAACAATGAAGAATTCCATTTAAAATCAACTTACATTAAGTTCAGAGATAATCAACTTGATTGCCTGAAGCCAATCTTTGATTTTCATTTGATCTTCAGATTGGAGCAGCAGTTGTGTCCCTTGGTTGTCAGTCAGCTGATAAGATACATGCAGATGACAATTAATAAAATCCATTAAAATTTTGTTTTAAACATGTTTTGTTTGTTTTATTATTATTGAACGTACATGTTAAGTTGGAGAGAACAAATGGGAGAGAAAAGCAAAATGTGATTTAAAAAAAAAGATGGATGCTATTAACAGATATTTTCTAAAGTTCAATGTGTGGTATTATGTAATTAATGATAAAAAAATGACTGATCACTTAGGAACATTTTTAAGTGTAAAAAAAAAAAAAAAAAAAAAGAATAATCAGCAATGAAAATGGGAGAATTCCAGGAAGCAGTCTTTGACTATTAACTTCTGAGATTTCCTGAAAGGGAAAAAATTCCTGTGTTTTCCATCTTTTTACTTTTCAAGAATCAAATAGCTTTTATCATATATACTATGCTGATAACCCTAACTAAAGAATAAACAAGTCAAGTTTAATATGTAAAAATACATTATCTATTTATCTTTATAAATTCATGCTTGTGTGTGTGTATATATATATATATATATATATATATATATATATATATATATATATATATATATGAAAGCAATTCCTTCTTTAATACATCTGTCATTGAACAAGACTGACAAGGACTTTTGCTTTATTTATTAAGTTTTTCTTACATAAGTACAAGTGTTTTTTTAAACTTAAAGATTGTGATAATTTGTCTAAAAACTTTGTGGTTCTGAGTTCTTTTGGATAAAATTTTAGCCATTTTTAAGGATTTTTTTTGTTATATTACTATAATAAATAGTATGTTAGTATAAAAGTTGCTAAAAGTAGATATATTCTTAATTTCCAAATATGATGAGTACATTGTGGTGATTTTATAATTAATATTATTAAGGATTGGTGTGTGTCTTATTTTCTGGACTATTAAACCCAGAAACTTGTAAATATAGTAAATAGTGTATGTAAAGAAAAGCTAATCAAAAGTACTTATTGTTTTGTTCAATGAAAAAAAAAATATATATATATATATAATATAAAATTTCAGATGTAACTAAAAATATATCTGTAAAAAGACTATGAAAAAGGAAAACATAGCAGATGTATTTCATCTTCTGATGGACTTTATCAAGGCAAATGTAAGGATTTTGTTTTGCAATGATTATTTATAAACAAAAGTAAAAATGTTATTAGTTTTTCAGAATTTTAAATTTAAGAATGCTCATCACTATACTTCAGGCTAACTGAATATTTTATATATATATATATATATATATATATATATATATATATATATTTTATTTTTAGAACAAAAACGTTTAAATTGTGACACAATTGTTTCTGTGTTTCAGCACTACATTGTACTTATTCAGGTAAATGGTGATTAAATAATTTTTGCTATGAACAGAATTTTACTTCACCTGTTCTTTCTCTCATATATACATATATATAATGTTTGTGTGTGCATCTTTATATGAATTTATAATTTTTGACATTGTATATTTCATCAAATATAAAGTCACTTTATGAAAAATAGATTAAAAATGGTTGCCATAAAATAAAAGGAAGATAAGTAACTTGACATTTTGAAATGAATCAATGTAATCATGTTCTCTAAAGTTACACAGTAGATACCAGTTAAATCAACATCACTTATAAGGAGCCATTGCTTAGTAGGACTAATTGTATTTTTTTTTTTTTTTTTTTTAAAAATCATACTGTCTTTTTTTTTATGCAAATTCATTTAAAAGTAACACCTGCTTAAATAGAATTTGCTGTATAGGAATTTGGGAACTACTTAAGTTAACTTGTCTGCTCATAAAAATAAACAAGGAAAAATATTCTGGGAATAATTTTTGTAGATTAGCATTTAAAATTTCCTCTATGGCAGGAGAATTGAAAAATATTGATTTTTATTTTAATTTTTTTTTATCATTCATAATTGCATACTATTATGGATTATATTTATTAAAATTATACCTCTTGCATCTTATTGGATTTATTGCTTTTCTTGGGGATGAAATGATCAAGTAAAAAGAACTTCAATAGTACAGTTTCAAACTTAACATTTGTAAATAAAAACTAAGTACAGATAACTCTTTAAGACAGGTAATGATTTGACACTATTTACATTATGAACAGGATACCTCTTTTAAAATGAAAAATAATCAATATTTTTTAATTCTGGCAAATACCATGGGTAGAGGAAAGACTAGTGAATGCTAATCTATAAGAATTGTTAAAAGGATTCTTCCCTGTTTTTTACAAGTGGACCAGTTAATTTAAGTAGTGCTGGAGTCTGTCAAAGTGTTTTATAGTTTGTTTTGCTTGTAAAATTTAGAGTGGAATTTTTGTGCAATATTTTTAAATATATTAATATTCAATGAACCCACCCCCCTATTTTTTTTTTTTTTTTTATTACAATGTTTAAGATTTTTAAATCTTGAACAATCTTCACAGAAATCTACCAAGTCTAACTTATTTAAATTATTTATATTTGGACAATTGTTCTCATCTTTATCACTGCCAATCTTCATCTGGTGTATATCTATCTGGGTAACCTACAGGGAATTTTGAACTGAGCCCTTTATTTAATTTATGCTGGTAGACTGTTCATGTTCCACTATTCATGTCTAGGGGATATCTTGTCTAGTTTTTATGTTTAGTATTTTTAGTTCAGTTATTGTTCACTCATTTCCATGAAGTACAACTATGCACTGCCTGGCTCAGGGATTGAATTCATACCCACTATAAATAATGATAATCAATATAAAGAATGTAAATAATGATGACTCCTCATCCCAAAAATTCAGACAGAAATTAGCTTCATCTTGTTGGTCTTGCTCTTCTTACAATCCAATACCTGAGTCATCGGTCAAAGTACTATTTCATGACATATTCTGAAGATCATAGAATGAACTGATAGAATCTTCCAGATTGGAGGAGGAGGAGGAAGAGAATATACTGCTAACACTTTAAATAAAAAGGAGTCGACCGTAGTCAGGATCATCAAGTCAATGTGAACAATCCTATCCTTAGCTGCATAGTATATACTTTGCCAAGGCTGCATACAGTTTTAAATTCAGAGTTTTTCTTCTCCTAGACCAGTTGCCACCCAAGACTATAGAACCCAGTCTGTCCTGCTATTTACCCATAGATAGGGAGAGGAGATGGTTTCATACCTTTCCCAAGGGACATAAGTGAGTGTCATGAAATCAATCAGAATTCAAACTCATCTCTCTGATTCCTCAATTCAAACGGCAATCTGTTACATGCCTCTTTAAATAATGTGGGTTAAATTTTATCCCACTTTTGAAGTGTTGGTATCTGTGTAGTAGATCAGCTTGATCATGATATATGGATCAGTTACAACAAATTTAGTATAGGAGATAAAGGAAGTTGAACATAAAAGGCACTGTGCTGGAGGTATTTTTGTTCAATGTAGTTGTGATATTTGCTGTTAAAGATCAGCACTTATTTATTTATTTATTTATTTTTTTCTTTATTAATGGCTCCCATTTGGTATCTGTTTCAATGCCAGGCCTACTAAAGTGATCCTTATAGCCTATAATATGGGATGATTCTTTCAGACATCTATTCAAAAATTCATCCAGAGATACCATAGCTTTTCAACTTGTGAAGAAATCTGGTATGCCAAACCCTGTCAAACACCTTCAAGATGTCCAAAAATTACGGATTCAATTTTCATATTTTTGTGATATCAACGAACACTTGTTTGACACTTTTGTGATGCCAACAAATACTAGATTACAACTATAGTAATGCCGTTGAACAATACTGGTGTCAGATGCCTTTGAATATCACTCACACTAAAAGTCCTTGCTCGATAATACTTACTCGAAAAGTAATCTTTGTATTGATCTGAATAGAGAATAATGTAGAGGAGAAAATAGCAATCTGAATAATAGAGGAGAGAGTAGAAATAGTGATCCGTATAGTATAGAGGATAGACTAGAAATAGTGATTGTTAGTCATCAGCTACTTTCTACATATGTGTTTCCTCTATGGTCATGTGGACTACTTAATTTAATAATGGGATTACCTGTGTTTGCTCAATGGTGATCTATGTTCAAACTCAAGTGTTGGCAATGACACTTTATTCCTATATAACACATATTTAGATTTCAGCATTAAATAATCCATACATGTTGATATGCCACTAAAGAAAATTATGCTTGTACAACACAGTAATCTTCTACCTTGAATGGCTTCAGGGATTTGTATAGTTCTTGTCCATTATTCTCACTTCATTCTACAGAGGCTGAGGAGTACCTTTTTTCCTCTGTACATGATTTTGTTTTCTCCCCTCATTAAATTCTTACATTGGCTGTTGCAGATGACATCACTTTTCAGAAACTTAAATTTAATTTCACCCAACTAAAAACACCAGAATTTTCTAAACACTGAAAACACTGAGATAACACTCTGTTTCATGCTTGAACGCAATCTTCAGGCCATGTGTGTTGTTTTGTTTTGACTATGCTGTTCAATGGTGAATTATGGCTAGCAGTGTGTGTATATATATATATAAAATATATATATATATATATATATATATAGAATATATATATACAAAAATTTGTGCAAAAAAACAACAGTAGAGAAAAATTCCAATTTTGCAAGACACGGTGCAGTTTGGGGCTAAAGAACATTTCTGGTGTAACCTTTAAAATTTGATGGACTCTCCCATCGTTTTTTTCACCGATGCCAGATCATTCATTTCTGTGTTTGTTTGTTTCATATTCATGAGACAACAATCATGCATGGGATTTGCAAACAAGTCCACACGAGGGACATGCTGAAGGGTTGACCATCTATGGGCTGATGTATCGTCCGAGATTTAGTGTTGGTTCTTAATTCTCTCAAATGGTTGAGACGATTCTTTCCAAAGTTAGTTATACCTCAGTAGCAGGTATTTCTCCAGTTTGCAACAGCAAGTTCAAACTCTAACCTTCTATAGAGATTTTTGTAGCATTTAAATTGTATTTAAGTTTGTCCTTGAAGCATAACCAAGGACAGCCTACATTACACTTACCATGAAAAAGTTGGCTATACATGAGGACTTTCAGCGTCTGATCATCACTCATTCTGATAACATGACCAGCCCATCTGAACTGTGATTGCATCAGAAAGGATTCAATATCACAATGCCACATTTGATGAAAAGATCAGGGTTAGAAATTTTGTCCTGCCATGTATAACTGCATATTGAGAGTGTTTATGAAAAGCATCAAATTGACTGATGTGCATCCATGATTCTGACACATAAAGAAGTGTGGTGAGAATGACTGCTTGATAGACACTGATTTTTGTTTTCAGTGAAATCCCATGAACATCCCATAGGCAATGCTTAAGCTTCCCAAAGGCGTTAGTTAATGGAATATCAAAGGCAACCATCTCGTCATCCAAAGAGGCACTTGAAATATATATATAATTTCTCACCTAATAAAGTGCACTTGCTAATCAAAACATAAACATTGGTGAGGCTTACATTTGGGGCTTTAGGTAAGCATTGGTCAGGCTTATACCTAAGTATAAGGTAATATATAGATATACTTTGCTTAGGTTTATACTTGAGTTTGCAAGCATCCATCTGGAATGTGGCCCCATTTTTTTTTTTTTTTTTTTTTTTTGTGTGTTTGGTTGTGGTGGGATCCCGGGTCCTGCTGACAGGACAAAGGGACATTTTAGCATTCTCAGTCAAGAAAAGAATATTTTAATAACTTCCCATTTATACAATCTATAAAGTCTATTTGCATATCTTTGAAGATTTCTGCAAGAAATTAAAAAAATTTTTAATTCTATTTTAACGAAAGAGTTGGAAAAATTACTTGTAAAGAAAGAAAATACACAGAAAAGTGAATGTCATTTTAAAGAATTCTTTGAAAAAATCTTTGAAAAATGAATATATTTACCATAAATACATTTTTCTTGCTTGACCAATCTTTTGGTGCAATCTCACATTTAGCATTCTGGAGGTTGAAGATCATTTCTGGGTTACCATTCTTTGATCCTGACACTTGGGCAGCCGCTCGCTGGTCTCGGTAGAACGCTATATTAGAGCCAAACAACTTCACATAGGACTGACTCCATTTTTTACTGAAAGAGAAGACAAATATACATTCATCATCTATAATTACATAAATAGATATAGTGGAATTCTGTGTTGTTGTTGAAATGGCCCAACAATTCAGCTTAAAATTAAACTCGGATATCTTTCTAGTAGTGAAAGATTATATAGAACCTGTCAAATCTTTTAGAAGAACTGATAACTGTAATTTTGCACAATGTACCATTTAGTCTCTAAGCAGTCCTCCTCATGTCTGGATTAAAACTTTTTCTTTTCCTAGACTGTTTTCATTGTCATAACCAGGGGAAGATGAATTCATGCCATTTCAAAGTATATATATATATATATATATATATATATATACGCACACACACCGAGTGTAACAGCAAAATTGTTCAATTGTTAGATTAAGCTCTGAACTGTGGTATCTTAGAAATGATTAAAGGTATCTTACTGGAATTTTCCATGGTTTTTATAACGCTATTGGATCCTACTTTGAGCAATAAGAATTATCATGATGAATTTGATCATAAACTGAATGACATGTTCATCATTAATTAATCAAATCTAAGGATCGGAAGCTCATGAAGAATTGAAAAGTTTATATATATATATATATATAATTATTTATTTAAAAATATGATTCCAATGCTACATAAGAGTTCTCATGTTTCAAAACAAGAGCCGAAATCTCCAATATAATTATTTGAATTAAAGTACCAAGCTCTGTTCTATCTTCAAGCGAAATTTTTTTTTTTTTGGAATAACTTATTCCTGAAATTTACGCGTTTTATAAGCATATTCATTATTGAAATTAAAATTACTATGGTAGCGGCTAGAGCAATATATATATATATATATATATATATATATATTCCAGGATCATTTTCAAACTTATTCAAGATGATCTTCACCCTCTCTAACCTAAGTTTCTGTCTTGGAGTAACAAAGTGCCTCACATGTTCCACGTATGATTTCATTTTCAAGTCTTTTTCACTGCTCTTTGGACTATCATGGCTGAAACTCCTCTCTCAAGTGCCAAACATCTTACAGATTAAGTTAGAGCTAAAGAGATCAAATAGAAAAAATCTAAGTTGAAATGATTATCCCTCTTGGTGTTGTGACCTCCTGATCCAGTTTTCTTCTCCACTTTCTTAATGGTTTTTTGATGGTTCTTGAATGGACTTTGGAAATGTAAGCCAGAGTATGAATGTTGGTACCATTACTGAAGGCCTGAATGATCTTTTTTCTCTCACTGTTGCTCAGCTTGGAAGACAGTGGGTCTAACACAAAACAATTTTAACCTGCTCTCTTTTTAGCTGAAAAACTCAAATTCTAATGCCGCCCTTTGTTGAGGCAATAGTAGGTTAGTTCATTTTGTATTATGAATGCATCTTAACATTAATCTGTGATCTACCATTTTCTTTAACTTATTCCAAATTCTTACTAATTGCTTTATTGATCAGAGTAGTCAACCTAGAAAGTTATGATAAAAAGATGAGTCAAAGATGAATAATAAAAATCCTTAACCTTACACTTCAAATAACTAATAGTAACTAGTAATCAAATGAAGCAACAGAATGGTTAGCAGTATGACTATAAATGTAGGCCCTTTGTCCTTACCTACATCTCATGACTAGATTGCTATTGAATTACCTTTATAAAATATTCTCCTGACATATGCAGAGATAATTGATCATGAATTGATAATCTGTAGCAAATTCTAGAAAACACAAGCCAAGTACCTGAAAACTATACTACAGTTTGATTTGTTTGGTTTTTGTTTTATGGCATGTCAACCTCAGTGGGTCATTTAATGCTGACAATTTTTTTCCTGGTAATATTATTGTTTTGTCAAAAATCTATTTCTGGTAATATTATTTTAAAAAATGTATTACTGGTAATATTTATTTTTTTTCAAAAACATTTCTGGTAATAGTTTTTTTTACAAAGTATCTCTGGTATTAAAATCTATTTTTACACTTTCATAATGCTTTTTACCTAGGTTACAGGGTTAATTATTTGTCCATAGCTGAGACCCTAGCAGGTGCTACCATCCTGGGTCAAGGTGGACTTGGGAACACCAGCAATTAAGAGGTGGTTCCACACTCCTCAAAGCCTCTTGATCAGAGGCCTTGCTGTTGGATGTAGTTTATCATCATGCCTAGGATGGTACTACGATTTGAATCCCACTCCCAAGCCTTCTGGGTGAAAATTGGTAGACAGTGCCCGCACACCTTCCCCGGTTCTAAGTCACAAGTCGTCATGAATGAGGCTTTGAGTGCACTAACCTTTTTCAAACTGCCGATCATGCCAGCTTATGCACTCACTCACTCTCAGAAACTAAATTCCACTCAGCATTGTTGCAGTATAAACTAAAGTATAAATATACTATTAAAAAAAAATGGAGTGTCTACTCAAATATGAGCATCCACAAAAAAAAAATCATTTAAGTAATAAAATATATGGTTTCAAGCCATGATGATATATCGAACTTTAGTATTTGTGTTTAAAACTAGTAGTGTGTGTGTGTGTGTGTGTGTATATATATATATATATATATATATATATATATATATATATATATATATATATAATATTAGTGGTAAATATACACATACATATGCAAAATATATATACATGGGTGCATACACATATATGTATATTTTTGAATAAAAAATTCAAAGAGGATAGAATCCAGGTAGAACTCAATGTCCAGGACAGAGTAAGGATATAATAAAAGGCTTAAACACTAATATTCCATGGTCATAATTTATTCCATTGGAATTGTAAATATGATCCAATTCATCAGACTTACAAATTCAAAAAGAAAACAGAAAAAAAACACTCCGGAATACATACATATATATATAGCACTATTTTGAAATTGGTATGAACATATAGTAATCTACAATACAATCTGTTTAGTGACATATTTATTATATTGTGTATTGGTGGCATTATTGTGGTGAAAGAGAAAGTCACTTACCAAGAAAAAAGAGCACATGTTTTCTGTATGATATGCTGGACAAAATAACCAAAATAGAAACAAGTCAGTCACAGTTGTGGCCCTAAATGCTTCTCAGATATGCTAATATTATTTGTCTTCTCCAATAGTCAGCCAATGAAAAAAAATTGTTCTGTCAATAAAAGCGATTGGTGTTCTCTAATTAGGAGAGTCATTTTTATTTTGCTACCTTGTCTGTTAGCTTTTGTGCAAATGTATTGTGAATTGGATTTTTGACATAGGACCTGCGATTCGGGATATTGACATTTCTTTCTGTCCCTGGACCTTTGAGTTTGAACTTGCAATTTGTTTATTTCATTGTGGAATTGAGCTGCTATATTAATTTTTGAACAAGCTATTTCAGCACATAATATTCATGGACTGATTTGACTTAAAGGCAGAGCTCATTTGCTGACTATGCAAATTGTAAGAGCCAGCAACAATCAATCCTTTGGGGTTGTCATAGGGGGGATGTCTATGCTGTATACCAGCAGCTTAAAGAAGAAAAAAAAAGCTTTGAGATAAAATGGGCTCTTTATACAGCCTTTGGAACGGGCCAGTTTGTGGCATATTGACAATTTATTGGGCACTGACTACTCCCCAGTGAAACAGTTGGTGTATACTTTGGCAATTTACATAAACATTCTGTGACATTTCGGGCATGAATGACCGGATGCTAGGATGCCTCTTTGCAAGAGGATTGGTGAATGGATGAACTATTGACTGACCAGCTATTGGCCTGAGTCTTTCACAAAGAGTCAGAAGAGGAACTGGTGGTAGCAGCCGCAAGGCCCACCCAAAGTAAAAATGTTCTTCCAAATGTGGGCTCTTCTGCAAGAATTAAGTGCTACAAATGTAATGGCCCAAGCCACCTGATGAGGGGCTGCCTCCAGAAGGGGCTAGCAACTTGTGTGCATTGCTATCGCTGCCATAGGTGCCACGAGCCAAGACACCTCTCTACCCCGCAAATCATGAAAGAGATGACTCAGTGTAATTTACATACCCATTGATAGGGTGAAACGTACTGCCCTTGTGGATACAAGTTACACATAGTGTGTCTCAAATTCTACAAATGACTCACCTCAGATTTTGAATTCAGAGTTATTCTTTTCATAGACTGGTTGCCACCTAAGTCTATAGGACCCAGTCTGTCCTGCTATCTACCCATAGCTGGAGGGAGAAAATCTTTCCCAATATTATTTGCATGTAAGTGAATGTAACGAACTTGACTGAAATTTGAACTTGGCTCTGCAATTCCTCAATCCATTATGCCACCATATGTATGTATGTATGTATGTATATGTGTGTATATATATATATATATATATATATATATATATATATATATATATATATATATATATATGTTGTGGCCTGGTTAGGGCCAGAAATAAAGACTCAAGAGAGGAATTGAGTTAAACAAATACATTAACAGAAACAGTAATACAAACGAGAGAGAATGTTTGGTCCAACTGTCAGAGCTAACTGCTGGAAACTTCCCTCTCTAAACTCTAAAAGGCAGTACCTGCTCCTATTTATAGCTGGGAGAGTCCATGCACACGTGGGTAAATTACCATAACAGTGTGTATATATATATATATATATTGTGTGTGTTGACAGCAAGCAGTGTAAGTTTCATAAAGACATAATTGTATCTTGAAAACATATACATTGATAGCAGGCAATGTAGGTGGCTTACAACTACATAACCTTGAAACACTGATTCCTGTATGATCATCTAAGTTAAGCAATATCAAGATTGGTCAGTACCTAGACTGCTTGGTGTTATGGAGTGATTTCACAGTGGAGGCTTGTATTTGTACTAAGTCGGTCCTAAAATAGGTTCGACATACAAAACATTAGGAACTTGATATAATAGGTATAACGCAGAGTAATCTAGTTGTGGTCGCTGATGCTTTATTATTCAACTTTGAGCTTCTGAAGGATGGAGTCACAGTTTCTGTAGGCTCTTCTTGTGGTTCTATTTGTTCAGCCACTAGCTTTACTTCTGTTGCTTAACATTTTCTGTGGTGACTTCAGTTGACTTAAATCATTTAATAATACTGCATGTCCTTGGCTGCGGGTAATTCGCTCCCCAGTTTTTCTCGGTGTTGGCTTCATCATTACTTTCTGGAGCTTGTTTTTCACATATATCGTCGGTGTTACCCATTCAACTTTTTTAAATACACCGGTTTTCTCTAATCTGTCCAATTCTTTATCTATCTGTTCAATTGAAGCAAACAGCACATTCCTTTTCTGAGCATTTTCTTTTAGCTGGAATTTTGCCTCCATCTTGGTACACGTTCCCAAACCTGGAGAAAAAAAACAGTAGGAAATGTTTCCTTAAGTTTCCTTACTAATTTTTGGGCTTGTGAGTTTAAACTTTCAACCTTGTAACAGAAAGAATTTATCGGTAGATCCCATAATTGAAATTATGTTATCCAATTCGTACCAAGTAAGTTCGTGGTATTTTCTATGACAAATAGTTTAGCTTTTTGCATTTTTTTATTTAATGTGACGTTTGTAACAATTTCTCCAATACATTGTATTTTTTCTCCCGTCACTGACCTTGCAATTTTATTTGTTTTCATTAAAGTTGGTTTCCCCAACTTCTTCCACGTATACAAATTTATGATAGATAGGTCGGAACCAGTGTCGAGTTGGATTTTTATTTTTTTATTACTTATTTCGACGGTAACAAATTTTCTGGTTATTCCATCGTTCACCTTGTTGGACTTTAATTTTCTTATTTTATTGTCTTTATTTTATGACCTGCAGTGTGAGCTTTTATGACCCACTCTTTTACAGTTGAAACATTTTTGATTCCTAAAATTGCAATATCTGTACCAGTGTAGTTCACTGCAAGCAAAACATGGCTTCAGGAGTTTTTGTTTATTTTTCTCTGGTATTTCACTTTTTGCTTGATAATCCGCAATTTTAGAATTCTTTTTGGTAGACTGACTTTCTTTTTTGTAGCATATTTTCCTTACATGTGAAACGCCCGACTGTTCTATCTTTTTCAAATCTTTCTTTACACTAACATATCTTGTGCAGTCTTCTGCCAACTTCTGTATTGTAATCCTTGGTTCGTTTTCCAATTTTACCAGCACTAATTTTCTCAACTCTGCATCTCTTTCCGATACCAGCCCTTGAACAAACACTAAGCACTTAAAATTGTCAGCGCTTAACTCTGCCAGCTTGAATTCTTCACAATGCTTATTCACATTGGCTGCGTACATTATATAGTCTTGTTTGTCATCTTTCATCAGATTCAAACATTTCCACCTCTTGTGAAACAAAGATGTCTTTTTAATAAATAATTCACTTAATATATTTACCGCCTCGGTAAATGTCAACTCGCTAGTTTTTTTTGGTAAAATGTAGTTTACCAATTTGTTAAGCTCAGCAGTTCCTAACTTGCTTAAAAGAAGCCTAACCTTCTTTCCATCAGACCACGAGTGGCAGTCCTCGTTATACACATCCATATATTTTTTATAATACTCCTCAAAAGTTATCTCTTCATCTGGACTGTACATGAATATTTCAGTTGAATTCCATATTGTATTCTCTGGGAAAGAATCATTTTGTAGATTTTTTCTCTTTCCTCTTCTCAGTTATTTCCAGAATTTTGTTTTGAAACTCCCTATGCATCTGTTCCATTTTTCGCTGAAATTGCATTTGTCTATTAAAAGTTTCCTCTTGTAACTGCATCTGGAATGACTTTTGTTGCTCTAATATTGTCATCTGTTGTTCCGTCTGGAACTTAAAAAATTCCTGGAATATATTTTTGCATTCCTCCATCTTTGCAAAAAGTTTACACAATGCCTAAATACTGTAGAGGGGGGTCCTACAAATTTGCAATTCGTGACCTATTTGAGCAAACTATATTATCAAGAAAAAAAAAATCTTTCCTCAGTTGAAAATACGACTAATTTTTTTCGTCACTAAGTTGACATCTTGTCTTTCGAAAAACTTTGCTAAGTTTTTTTTTTTTTTTTTCAAGTGTGAATCTGAGATTTTGTCGCCGAAATTATTGTGATGAGCAAGTTTTTTCTTTTTCCTCCGTATGATTACAAATTTCATCACCAAATGTTGTGGTGAGTGAATTTTTTTTCTTCAACCAGATGAATCCGAATCCCTCGTTGCCAAATAATGCTGTGGCGAACGAATTTTTTTTTTTTTTTTCCTCCATATGAGTACGAATTCCTTGTCGCCAAATTTGTTATGTACTGATTTCACAGTGGAGGCTTGTATTTGTACTAAGTCGTTCCTAAAATATGTTCGACATACAAAACGTTAGGAACTTGATATAATAGGTGTAACACAGAGTAATCTAGTTGTGGTCGCTGATGATTTAATATTCGACTGTTGTCCCACTTCAACTGACTCACTGAGCAACTCCTACTACTCCTACTTATTATAGGTGGGAGAGTCTATTAACTATAGAATAGGTGTGTTCCACTATAACACTTGGGAATGTTAAGTGCTGTATACTTGGGTGGTGTAATGGATCATCCCTCAGAATTGTTAATCAAAGAGCAGAGTTTCCCATTCACATTGGGTTTGTTATATTCACTTGTATGCAAATACCCTTGGGAAGCATGTGAATCAACCTCTTCTCCCCCAACTATGGGTTAATTAGTAAGACTTGTATGACTAAATCATCATTATCTAAACGCAAAAATATAACTAATTATATGAATAATATCTTCATAAATTCAGCTCTAGATTCTTAGTTGTTGGACAAGGCCAAATCTGTAGCTGTGTTACTTTAACTGGTACATGGTATTTGACCATGAAAGTTTTAATAAAATATGGCAGGATAAAGAAGAAAACAAGTTATAACTGAAGAATGAAGATAATTCATCTCAAAATTCAAATACCTGACTCCTCCTGCCATGCCCTATTTTTACAAGAGCCAGATCAGACCAAAAATTGAGTATTGCTGCCTCATCTTGTCTAGGGTTATCCAACCCTCACTTTCCAACATTGACAGAGTTTAAAAGCATTTTTGCAGCCTGTTGCTACTTTTATTTACATTAGTAAAGTCTGAACAAAAGTAAGTCTGGAGAAACATTAGAAAGCCATAATGGGGAAAGACAATGAAATCGGATATGGCTGACCATGTATGGAGGGAAATGGGTAGTCATTGACCCACTGTGGAATAAAGTAAAAATACTGGACAAGGAAGAACACCAGAGAGATAGGTGTGTAAGAATCATTGCATATGCTAGGCTATAAGGAACTCCTTAGTAAACCTAGCATAGAAATAAATATCATATGGGATCCACTAATAAAGAAAGAATTACAAATGACAGCAGGTCTTCAACAGTAATAGCAACTGTCACAGAAAGGGAAAGTTCAGTGAGTGCAGTCAAGCTTTACAAGCAGCACTCATCAGCAGGCAGGTTAGGTTTAAGGCTCCATACAGAATGACAGGGAAGATAACCCAGTGGATTAAAGCTTTGGTTCATAAATTTGATGACATGATAATTGTAAGTTCAATCTCCGGGCCAAGCAGTTTTTAATTGCACTCAATGGAAATAGGGAGGGCAATAAATGAGCATTAGTAAAATAAAAACTAGACAAAATATCCCTACATATGGGTGATGGAATTAAATAAAGATAGATTAAATAAAGGGTTTAGTTTGAAATTCCCTGTAGGTTACCTGGATTGATATACACCTGATGGTGGCCAAAAACGTTGGGATAACAACAACAAAGATTAGGACAATAGTATGCATGTAATTAATGACAACTCCTTATACCAGAAATGCAGACAGAAACTATAGCTAATCTAACACTATTTTCATGGTACATTCCTTGGTTTCACTAGTCAAGACCCACCATTCCACATATATTAAGTCAAGTCATTCTCTTCATATACCATTGGTGAGGAAAGTTCAGCTCAGACAGTTGCTTCTCATTGCAACTGTTGCACTGTGGAATGGACTCCCAAGAGGATGTTTCTCTGATCAATACAATTTTAACCTCATTAAGTCAAGGGTCAATCATTATCTTTCCTACATATCCTCATAATATACACCCCTTACTCTCTCTCTATATGCTCCCACAACATCTATATTATGCAACCCTCCATCTTGAATAGCACTTAGGTCTTGTATTGAGTTAACAAGGTTAAAAAAAAACTAAAACAAACTTGTAAACAATAAGAAATTATTTACCTGACTTTTTTGCCATTTTCCATCACTTTTGTTTTGTTCAAAAATGCTGCTTTATCCTGGGGAAAAAAATGAAAATCAAAGTTTAAAATAACAATATTAATCACCAGTCTGTAAAAATATGTAAATTTATCACAAGACCCTCATTAGGGATGAAAGGTTTGTTAGATACTTGCTCAAAAAAGGTTTGTGTATGTTTTTAGCAAAGAAAAAAAAAAACTCTGACCAATGTTTGTTTCTCTAAGGTTATGTGAAATCCATTTATCTTGTTTGTGAATTTTGTCTTACGCTTGTAAACGATAATATCTCAGTTGACTGTACAGCCAATAAAGAGCCAATTGAACTTAAAAATACACTTGCAAGCTTTCAATAACATTGTTTCAAAAGACAGTGTTGAAAATTTACCCATCAACCTAATATTTTCTCTATATTAAATACTTTTGCAAATACTTTATGTATTTGCAAATGAAAATGAAACAAAAAAAGAAAAGTATTTAAAAAGCTTCACTTTCAATTAAATACTATTAAAATTTTTTTGAAGCATTGCCATTATTAACTTTTAACAAGTTTATTTGTCATCTTATTTCTGTTGCTTTTTATCACAAGAAAGGACTAAATATAAACTACAGGAAGATAGAATGTATCAGCAAAAGGATGAGCTGAAAAATGCAAATTAAAAATCAGGGATATTAAAATCAAACAAGTACAGAAATTTAAATATCTGGGAACTATTCTAACACAGGTGAGAAAGTGTGACACTGAGATGGGCAAAGATGCATTCCAAAAGTTAAGCAGAGTATTAAGAAATAGAAAAATTTCATTAGAAACAAAGAAAAGAATACTGAACTGTTACTTGATATATGTCCTCCTATATTGCAGCAAATGCTAGACAATCTCCTCAAAGATGAAGAAGAGACTTCAAGCAACAGAAATGCTGTTTTACAGAAAGATGCTAAAGTTACAATGAACCAAACGTGTGTGCAATTAAAAGGTTTTGGAGAAAATGGAAACGAAAAGGAAAGTCGGACGTAAAATCAAGAAAAAGCAGTTGAAATTTCTGAGGCACATGAGAAAGGGAGGCTTGTAAACCTGATACTTACAGAGCAGATTGAAGGAAAGTGGGACAGAGAAGAGCAGCATGTAACATACTTCATTAGCTTAAGTAAATGGATGGTAGAACAAGGTTTGGGAGAAATAAAACTTATTAAGAGCTGCAAGGGATAGGAAGATGTGGTGGGCCATGATCGCCTACGCCCTGACAGGACACAGTACATAATAGAAGTACATATGCACCAACGATTTTTCAACTGATGACCGGGCACCTCTTTTAATCTGGGCAAAATTATGAAAACACATTTGAATTTCATACAATGCTGCTGCTTCTATGTGACATGTCCTTTCAGTACACAGGCAAATGTGGCTCTCCACAACCTTCTATCCTTTGTAGTCCTTAGCAACATTTGTTCCTGTGCCAAGCCCTCAATGATTTGTCAAAAAGCCCTTTCATAAGATGTGAAGAATCTATTTTTGAATTTGATAGTCACAAAATACATAAGTTTATTAAGTGATAACTTACTAGTGACTAAGCAACCCCATGGAAGTGTGTCTGTTTATGCATGTGCAGTAAGATTATTTAGTTGCCAAGATACATCAAGCCTATACAACTAGTTCTTGATATGTTCAAAATGGCTATCAGTTATGTGTCATGTGTGATACACGCTTAGGCGATCTTTTGATACATGACTGATGAGGCAGATATTTTTTCTCCACAGTAGGTTGCCATTTCTTTCTGCGGTAGACCAGTTGCCATCCAAGGCTATAGAAACCAGTCTGTCCTGCTATAGATAAAAGGGGGAGAAGAAGAGGATTCATACCTTTCCCAAGGGTATTAGCATGTAAATAAATGTAATGGATTTGACGGGAATTTAAACTTGGCTTGGAATTATTATAATTAATATAAAAATACCAAAATGTTGTTTTTTTTGGGGGGGGGGTTAAAATTTCATGCACAGAGATTTTTAAAAATGAGATATTTTAGTTAGAGTAAAGGAATCATTTTAGCATCTAAGTTATACCAATAGTACATTTTGTTAAAGACTGAAATGAGCCAACAAATATTGATGACCTAGAGCCCCCACTGATATATATCAGTGTAACCCAGATATAAGAGAGTTGTTGGGACCGGAGAAGTATCTTATATCTGGGTTTGGTCTATTTTGTTTAGGTAAGTATGGGAACACTTTGAGACCAGAGAAAATCTCTTATATCCGGGTTTCTTATATATATATATATTTATTAAAGACATTTTTTATGTTTAACGTTGTTATTTTATAGATACAAGTATTTAAGCAAATGCTCTGTTTATGATAAACAGTATTAAATAACATTTACCGGCCTGAATGTCCGAGAAATTTTCATAGAAAATATTCGTCCTTTGACAGGATTCGAACCTTTCTCGGACATTCAGGCCGGTAAATGTTATTTAATACTGTTTATCATAAACAGAGCATTTGCTTAAATACTTGTATCTATAAATAACAACGTTAAACATAAAAAATGTCTTTAATAAATAAATTGTCGGACCTTGTCCATTTCTTATATATATATATATATATATATATATATATATATATATATATATATATATATTAGTTAGAGTAAAGGAATCATTTTAGCATCTAAGTTATACCCATAGTACATTTTGTTAAATATTCTAATGAGCCCGACAAACATTGATGATCTAGAGTCACCACTTATAAATATTTAATTTTTTTTACAGTGATGTTCACTCTGTACAAGGTTCAATTTATGGGGATTCAACAAAGCAGTGGTTTTGTAGAAAGAGAAGCTGCTTGAGTGGAACTTACATCTCACAAAGAGAATGAGGTTGATCCACTACAATGTGCATGACATGGTGGGTCTTAGCCACAAAGGGTAGAACTGGTGGAACTAAAGAATGTAGTTCGTCTGAACATTTTCCATGGAAATAGCAATGGATGGAGCAATGAGAGGCATGCGATGTTTCTTTTGTGAGAAATGGGTTATAGGGTGGAAAATAATTTATCATCCATAAGGATACAGAGACGCTTTCGAGACCGTAAAGACTAGTGAGTTTCGAAGAAGAAATTGATCATTTGTACCTGTTGTGTTGTGAGGTGTATAGTTATGTGTCAAATAAGAATGAACACGAAATTTAAACGATTATACATTCTATTTAGTACTGGATAACAATAGATGTAAAACATGAATAGATGTAAAACATGATCAGTGATTACTGGTAGATTGATAAATCGATATATGCCATGTGAGGATGCATGACTGCCATTTAAAATCTCCTTTGTTATGATGTCCATCCTAACAACACCACATTCAGAACTTGGCACAAGTTTGAAAAGCCTAATAATAAATTTGGCAGGTGGTCGGAAAATTCCTCTAATCCTAATCCCATCAAAAATTTAAAAGCCACTATGAAAAAGTAAATTGATAATGTCCCCTTTGAATTGAGCAATGGAAAGTAACAGCGGGTTATTGGTAAAGTTTTGTAGAAATTTGTAAGCAGATAAAAAAAAATGTTCAGAAGCCGCCTTTGCTTCTTTAAAATTAGATTGGATTTTGTGAAGTTTTTTGTTGAAAAATGAAAAAGGATTTTTGTTTATTTTGTATTTCTTGCCAAAAAAAAAAAATGACAATTTTATTAAAAGATAACATTCACATGCACATAGCATATTGAATGCATATACTCAGAATAGTTCATTAACGTCTTAAGTATTATGAAAGAATTGAAAAAAATTTAAAAACCTTGTTTTAATATAAAATATATGCCTACCTTAACAGCACTTAAAATTGAAGGAGTTGGTGATTGATGTCTTTCTGGTGTAAAACTTCCAGGTTTCTGAAAATATGAGTAAAAATCATAATTAAATTAATGCTGATAAATATGAATTAAATAATAGATAATGTAGATAAAGTTAAAATAATATAGATATTATATACATATAACAGATTACAATTTAAATAATATAGATAAAATATAAATATATGCAGATAACTGAAGTCAGCTTCTTCTTTCTCTTCTTTCCATCTGACTTGTCCCTTCAGGATGTGTGCGATCATGGCTCTCCATAATTTCCTGTCTTTTGTAGCCCTTAGTAAAGTCTTTTTGTTATACCTCTTAATCCCTGTTGTCAAGCATTTACACAAGCTCATAAGATTATATATGGTGCTTTCCTCCAATGTGTCCTGTGAGTGTCTAATTTTCCAAGCACTCTTTCCTCATCATGTCCCCTAGAAATTTCAACTGTCTCTTTCTGATTCAAAGTAAAAATGTCCTCTTTGTTTCCATTTACTTTTCCTATTTTTTTTTCTTATACAGCTAATGCCACTATGGCAAACTGCACACAAACATGAGATTGTCTTCTCCAAAGAGCATAACTTTGAGTGGCTGTATTTTATTTTTCTGAAATTGGTGAAAAGAAATCTGCCACTTCAGTCATGTATTGAAAGATGCATGATTGCCTAAGTGTGTATCAGGCATGGTATGTAACTGATATTTAACATCAAAAAGAGACAGTTGCATTTTCTAGAGTACATAATGAGGAAAGTGGGCTTGGAAAATTTGATACTCACTGAACCAATTGAAGGCAAGAGGGACAGAGGAAAATTGCATAAATTACCTAATGAGCTCATATGAATGGATGGTAAAACAGGGTTTAGGAAAGATAGCAAAAAAACATAATTTACTAAGAGCTACAAAGGATAAGAAATTGTAGAGAGTCATGTTCATTAATGTCCTGAAGAGACACAGCACATAAAAGATGAGAAGTCTTGGTGAAATTATCAAAGGGTTTGTTTTCTATATGAGTCATGTAGAAATTAGATAAAGTAGGGTCTAGAGGCAAACCCATAGCTACACCATCAGTCTAACTGTTACCAGACTGATTATAAAAGCCACTCTATTGGGTGCATTTAAGATAGCTTCTGCAGAGGGTTCTAGATTGGGCCTTCATCACAATAGATAGGGAGGAGTAGATGCAATAGGCAACACTAAACTACAGAATAACTCAAAACTGATCACTGTATTTAAGTATTGCATTAATATCTAAGCTTATCTTTTAAAAGTTCAATGATAATTCTTTTGCTGCCACTTAATTTAGAGACAATTTAATGTACATAGGTCCTTAATTTCTGTACAAACAATTATTTTTATTTCATGGGTGACTTTCGTTTGAATTTGTAATTAATTTTGATTATTCCTTAATTTATAAAACTTCTTATCATATAAAAAAAATTTGTTGCAAGAAAAATCATGGGGGGGGGGGAAGTCACTGAAAACAATCACAGTAATGAAAACTTAAGAATCCAAAATCTCAGAATTACGGACCCAGACCTGACCCAGAATGCTTTTAATTTTCTCATGGAATCAGCCTGATTCCAAAATGATTTGATATGTTGGGATGTGGCATCTAGGAATAAAGTTGAAAAAGTGTGACACAGTACGGTTCTGCAGGAATTTTTCCCTTTTAACACTTCAATAATCCTTCTCAAAAAATTTTTTGCGTCAAATATTGTTTGAATGTCCATTTAGGATGGAATCATATTAAGAAACTATTGGCTAAATGGCAAAAAGCTGATTTTGGACCTAGTTTATTACAGATTTCATCCACTTAACTAAACCAAACCTTCACACAAGACAATTTGTGTGTCATATGTAATTTACATGGCAAATTTGGAAAGCATCAGATAAAAAAAAAACAAAAAAACGGAGTTATGGCTGAAAAACGAGATTTTTGAACAGCTTTTTGTGTTTTTTATTATATGCGGGTAAGAGAGCAGGACTAAAACCACACTATCTTATTTCTTGCATGATGGCAAATTTTTTCAACATGTTTGAAGAAAATCAGATAAAAAATGAAGTTATTAAAGTTTTTATTTTAAGTACAGTTTTTTGCAATTTTTTTGTGTGAAGCTAATGTCACAGGAAAACTATCAAGCACTTTATGTAAACCTCATAACATGAGCTATGATTTACATTTAAGTGCAAAGAACATCAGTAAAAATTTTGTTCATGTGTAATTTGGCCTTGGTTTTTGAAAATTGTTGTACCCAGTTTCATTGATTTTTCTGCCAAACCTACCTTGGTAAATTTGCAATGTGTGTTCAATTTCATTGAAATTAGCTGAGAAATGTAGACATACATAAATATCGCACACACACACACAGATATCTTCTGTTTTATAGATATAGATATTTGTGTTGTGAAAGATAGAATTTTTGGTCTCTTATTAAAAAAGAAGGAGGCAAGGAATGATTAAATCAGGCTAACAGTGTTCTTTTCTTAGTTAACCATTTTTTTATTTTTTGCATATATTATTGTATATACTATAATTCTTATTCATAATTGGATACATGAATAAAATAGATTTTTATTTCATGTATAATAATAGCAAAATAAAAATAAATATAATTATTTAAGAATGATAATGTCATTCACAAGGTCATGAAACTGAATGAAATATCATGTCAGACTAGAGTTTGCCAAAACAGGATGTACAATTTTATTAACTGTATTTATAAGATTACCACACATTCACTAGTTATATATTCCTTATCAATTGTTAAAATTCTCAAATGTATAACTAAAGAAAAAAATAACTAGAAATGTTAGATAACAAATCTTACTGATTAATCCTGGATTTATGTGGATTTAGAAAGTTTTATGTACTGATTGAACAGATCAATGTTGAAATATTTCTATCTGAAAATGTTTTGGAAGTAAGCCATTTTGCTTAAACACATTAATTATACTGATAATAGCCTTATAAGTAATATTTGTCTTGTTTCAAACACTGAAAATGCATTTTTGCTAATGCATTTTAATAATAAAATCATTTTCAATGCATTTGTATAATAAACTGCTTTACCATGTATGTCAATGGTAAGGCACATTTTACATACACTTTAATGGTAATACCTCTGTCCATGCCCTTCAAATAAAGAATCTCTTTTCTATTATATATATATATATATATATATATACACACACACACACACACACATAAAGGCAAGTCAAAAATTATTCACACTTTTGCCATAACATATCTGAATGTGGATAATTTTCTTACTTTCCCCTCGTTTAATAACACTAGTCTGTCAGTAACACTTGCATTAATTGAGTTGACTATTGACAATCCCTTTTGTCTGATTTCTCTTTGTAACATTTAAATTAAGTACAAAAATGAATTTCAGATAAAACTTGGTGGCTAAATAAGCAAACTATTTTTAATACCTTGTGCTACCATGGTGACTTTTATTCACTGATAAGCATTGTGAATGACCATCACTGCATTAAAGCCACCAAATACCAAATGGCCTATAGAGCAAATGTACTTTTTACTCTCTCTAAAGTTAATACCATTTGATTTAGCAAAAAACAAGGAGGAAAATCTTTATACATTTAACATGTTTCACTGTTTATTTTAGCTTCATCAGAAATTTTTTTACTCTCAAGGCCAGCCTCCATAGTTAATATCATTTGATTCAGTAAGAGAAAAATAGAAAAATCTCTATACCTTTTTAACATTTTTTTTTTTTTTCATTAAAAAGTTTTTTTGAAAGTAAAATAATACTGAGTGATGTTTGAAATTGAAATGTGGATTGCACAACATGTGCCTCTTAATGTTAGAGTATTGTTAACCATAATACATGTCTTACACAGGATTCTGCAATAGGCCAACGGACAATCCAGATTGTGCTGACAAATATATGGATTCTATGGTTGGCAAAGCAAATGTGTGTTTTGGAGGTGTTCTATATCAAATCACATCAACTGTTTTTGTGTTGACAGAGATATTTGTCCATTCTCTTTCTTTACTAGGTGGCTTTTGAGTTCTGATTTTGACTAACACAAAATTTCCTCAGAAATGGTGTTTTTTTTTTTTTTTTTTAACCTATCTGTAGAAATGGGAATATAATTTTCTCCTTTGTGATCTATTTTGTGCTTTATATAAATACTAGCAGCATGGCCCAGCGTTGCCTGTGCTTAATTCAAAAATCATACAACTTGTACAGCAATCACTATCACTTGACTTAAAATATTTTTGCCCTTCCTTGCTTTTAAAGGAGTGCCCTTTGCTGTGCTGATGTTGCTACATGCCTTACTTCTTGCCTACCTCACACTGCGAATTTTTTCGAAGCTCTATACTAAACATTAAATCTGTGACAAAAAAAGAACTAAACAAAATGAACACAAAACGATCAGCTTTAAAAAAGGACTCGTGACTGGAAAAACCAAATGAAAAAATGTTAACAATACTTTTTCACACCCAACCCAGTTCTGCGGAATCAGGATCAACGTTGAGTTTAAGCAAGCAAATGAGCCAATTGGAGTAAAGTGCCATGCAGATTTAAATTTTTCCCACTTGTGACGAATGCAGCTATAGATTTTTTTTGCATGCTAGTTAACATTCGTGTCAGTCAGCTGTTGGCTCTCACACTGGCCAATAGAATCTTCCTGCCTATTCGTGGCAGTTAGCTATAGGCTCTCACTCCAGTACAAAATGGCCGCAAACTACATGAAAACTGCCGTAGAAACATGAAAAAATTGATTATTTCCACTATCAATGGGAGTTGGGAAATGCAAAGTCAGTCTTGGCCTTCCCACTAACTTTGTGCATGTAAATTTTGGTGCAAATCCGTCGAAAATTGCGGCCGTGCATTCGTTACACACACACACACATCCTGCCTTTTATAGATAGAGATACAGGCTTAAAAGCCACACTCTGTGCAAACTATTTGGGGTTTTGCCATTTTTTTGTCAACCTTCCCACCACCCACTGTTTTTTTTTTTCTCTCTCTCATTTTAATAATTGTTTTTTTAGTTATCGTTCCTCATTT